TTTCTGGGAGTTGAAGTCCACTCATCTTAAAGTAAAGTTGCCAAGGTTGAGAAACACTGGGTTATACTCTAGTATTTGTCATTCTGGGAAGCAAGGAAGGAAATAGGAAGAATCTGTGGAAATCTGACTGGATTCTCTGCCTCCTTCCTCTGACCAAATTGCTCATTAGCAGCAGTAAATTGTTCAGAGGTTCCTTCAACACTAGAAACAGCCTCGCTTGCTCAAGGTGAAACTGCCTTATTTCAAATCCAGCTTGTCTTCTTTTTTGATTTTGTTCAAAGAAATGAAACATTGTTTCATGAATATCTATAAGAGGCTTAAAATAAACACTCTTCTGTGCTGTAAACCTCCATACTATTACAGTCTCCTAGGTAAACTGCTGGGTCAACCATTAATTGTGACTGGACTGCAGGACTTGAAAGAAAGAGGTATTTAATAATTGAATGCAAAGTTCAGAGAATTGGAATCCTTCCCAGATGTGCATAAAGGAATGAAGAATCTTTCCTCACTTATGGGTAAACGTGCGTCTCCCTTAGTTTTGTGGCAGAACGGGACAAATGATTAATGGAGTAGATACTTATGCATTGATTTCTAAACATTTTACAAACATATTTAAGCAAACCATTATCCTATTAAGGAACCACACTAGTTTTCTGAAAAGGAAGGATCTTGTCTCTCCCAGTGCAGCAAAATCAGCAACATCTCACTATTGAAATTCAGATCCCAATTACAGATTCAGGTTGCAATTCTACTGTATCTTGATTGTTGTATTTTGTAAGCTTCCTAGAGTCATAGCAGGTTGGGGGACCCTATACATTTTGTAAAAATAAATGAACAAACAATCCTGCTGACTTCAGTGCATCTAGTGTGTCCATTCCCAATTTATTATCCTGGAGATATCTTCCAGGACTGTCTTCTCCACCCAGTAACAATCTATCCAATACATATGCCCTGGGAAAACCTGCTAGTAGTTCTCCAGTTCCCTAAGGTAAAAGGGAATGGAGACTTGCAAGTATTGTTTCTCTATTGTGGTATCTGCTCTCTTTTGCTTGAAATTTGATCAGCCCCCCTCCCTCATTAGTTTTTCAGGAACAATTGAAAACCAAGTTATTTTAGGACAGCTTTCAAATTATGAATGTCACAATCTATTTATTGATTGGTTTGGGGTGACTTTCCAAGGTATTGTGTAACATGGTCATTTTAACTGTTATTTTCTGTTTTCTATTTTTTATTGTTTTGTATTATGGATGCTTTAATGTCGTTAATTTAGCTCAAGAATCTTGTGATGATGGTGGCCAGAAATCAAAAAGCCAACAAATAAATAAATCTAGGAATTGCAGTCCCAACACATCTGGAAGGTATCTGAGAAGAGTTGGTCTAATTCTGGGAGTTGAAGTCCACACATCTTAAAGTTGTCAAGTTTGAAAACACTATTCTAACTTCTAACCAGGCAAACATAAATTATAATGTGATTCTAAAATCTTACAGACACTTACCTGGCAGTTATCCACGAGTTGGTACTCACCAGGTATAGTGGGACTATAATTCCCAGAATTTCCAGGTAGCATGCTGTCCAGCTCTATCTGAAGAGCACCAACTTGGAGTAAGGACTATTAGATAGGACAGGAATCATAGCCTTTTATAGAATAGCACCAATAGAGACAATCCAGAATATGATGCAGCATTTAAAATTATCAGATGGTTTGATTTTTTTCATTAAAGGCTGTAAAATAACCTCAAGAGGTAGTTTACTGTTCTGAATTTCCCATACCTTCCCATTTATTGGGACTCTATCTTCAAAACACCACTGCAGGAAAAAAATGAATTTGTGATGGGATGAAGTGAGAAGAAAGAGGGAACATTCTGTCCCACATCTTCTCAATGTCTTTAAATGGCCCTGAGGGAATTAGTGGCAGATCATAATTGTATTACTAGTAATGCATTATTTTCATATCAGGTTATTTTCTTCTTTCATTTTCAAACCACGGGGCCCCATAAAGTTCCACATCTTTGGATCCCAATATCTGCTTGTGTTTATATATAAACTGTTCAAATAGCTACATCTTCCTGTTGTGTTAATTCCACATTTCTATAACGTAATATTAAATTATTTTTCCCTTGGTAGACCATTTACCAGCATTGAAAGTTAGCATTTGCTGCAAATTATCCAAATCAGGTATAACTGAGATTTTTGAAAGGCTTCAAAATTGGAAGCAGAAAGTTGGCTGCCTCCAACAAAAGTTGCACAAAGTAAGGTAGCCCCAAAAGTTCAGTAAGTTAGGAAATAGTTTAAACTGCAGTTCCAGTATCCCAATATTAATTGTGAGAGGGGATTAGAATGATGCTTCTTTGACAGTCTCTGCCAGTGCAAAGGAACACCACTCGTAAAAATCCTAACTGTACCCAAGTGAGTGGCAAGCTACTGCAGATGTTTCTCCCACCAGCGATAGTAGAGGAGAAACTCCAAATTAGCTTGGTCTAACAGCCCTCCAGAAAGGAGGAGGAGCCTCTTTTGGATTATTGGGAACACCCATTTGATTTTCTTAAAATGGGAGGTGGGGTATTAATTCTACTGGCTCAAGGGCTGCCCAAAACTTAGCCTAATGTGCAATCTAGGTAACAATGTTTCTTATAGACAATACTTTACTTGGTCTTTATTGCTACTAGTGCCATGGTTTCTGCAACTGTTTTATAATATCCAGTGTGTTTAATTCAGCTGTTTCTCGATCTGCTCAGATATTGCTCTAGTTGTCCGTGAAGAAAGTTCTGAAGGTTCTGTTATATCTAGCATAATAATCAATACAAACCTACACTAACCATCATATTCATTTTATCACAACAGCCTTTAATATTAAAAAGCAATGTCTGGAGTTTTTAGGACTATCTTATAGTACCTGGATTTCCCTGAGTCATAGAATCATAAATGAGTTTGCAGGATTTCAGTAGAATGCTGATTTTCTTTTCTGGAGAATAAGCCTTGTTCATGGTTGTGAATTTGTGCAGTATTTTCTCCAGCAATGCTGATTCAGGGACACTAGTGGTGATTCCCAGGTCAGTTGTAGTTGTATTTTGTATGACTTGCTGGTTTTCTTTTAGGAGTTTGAAAGATCCATCTTTGTTATGGATTTCCCGTAGGTAAGTATCAATGGGCTCTTTTAAAGGCTTCAAGACACATTTGTGCAAAGCCGACTCTATTATCACCTCTGAAAAGGGAAAATAAAACATGTCAAAGGAATATATCAGAAAGCAACAACATAATAGGACTGGCAGATTCAGACTTTGGAACCAGTAGAGATTTAGATCAACCCAGCTGATAATGACTCTGTTGTTTTACCTGCCTTGTCCTTGGCCTCAATTAACCTCTTGCTTTTCTCTGCCATCTTTCTGGGCACCTCGGCCTATTTTTATTCCATCAGCCACTTTATAGTTGAATTTGAGGGACTATGCTTTGGTGAAGTCAGATATAGGTCTTCTCTGTCTAAAGGCTATTTGTAAATAAAATAAGCACCAAATTTCATCAGCACTTAAGCTATGACAGAGCATTAGTGAGCATATACAAATGTTTTTTAAATATGGCTTTTCCCCCATTTAAGAACAATGTTTTTCTGCTGGGAATTCTCAAGTCCTGGATTTGATCAGTATAAGCCTCAAAACATTTTAAAATCCTGCTTTTTAGGTAATTTTAAGCTAAAAATTTGGCTAGGTGTAACAGAACTGAATCTGTTCTGATGCTCCAATTTGACTCCTCCACCATTAATTTCAGCAGGCTCCAGATAAGAAGTTTAATAAATACATTAAAAAATCCATCCATTTCTCCTGCAGGTTCACTTATACCTTTTAATTTTAACCAGGGTCTTTTTACAGGGATGCGGAAGAGGAAAGAATTGCCCCAGGCCATACTCTTGGAGAGGGCCCTATATAAAGTAGCGTTCAATGTTTGAGATTACCAGATAGATAATTCACTTAAGGAAATACAGCTAATCAATTAAAATAGAATCCCAAAGAGGTGCTTTTTTTAGTATTTTTATTTTTTCCACATGTGCCTGGTTACTGATCATTGAATACAGTGGTCAAAACACAGCAAAGAAAACATAACATTGACATTTAAGGCAGTGAGAACAGGAAGTAGACTCAAAGGAACCAGACTTCTCAGCATTTTAATGGGGACATAGTGAATTAATTAAATTCACTATTCTATGAGCTATGGAGTAGAAGGCTTCTGTAACTTTGCCAAAAGATCTTAACATTCTTTAAGAGAGAAAAGGGTAGATTCGGGAAATTACATGTAAAATTTGGTCTGGATCTAACAGGGAAGGTAAGCTTAAAATAGCCTCAACATAGAATGCTTGGGAAAAAAGTAATTTCCCAGCTAGTGGCATATTGTGAAGAATTGGAAGCTTTCTATAAAAATGTTATGGAGCTCAGTCCTTGATCAGGAGGAAATGTCAACAACATGACTGTGTAAAAAGACAATTCCTTCAGAAGGGGATATGTGATGAAGCAACTCTTTAAAACTTTCATGTCCATATGAGACTCTTAGTTGTTTTGACTTCCACAGCTCAGCTCACTGAGTGGAACCCCCCCATGTACAATGCTGGATTCTGCAAATACACAGTTCAGGATGTTTGCTAACATTTGCAACAAATGAGCAAAAGCACACTATTACTTTTGCAAAAATTCAGCAAGTTGCATCACACCAGTCCTATCTCAACTCGAGGGTAGCTACAATCCAAGTCAGCCCATAAGCTTAAATCGATCTACCTCTCTTGTAGATTACAGCTACATACTTGATCCTCCTTGTAGCAGCGGGGCAAGCAATGACATGTTTATGTAACATGCACCTTTTTAAAAAGGCACTTCCACAGAGATGCAATGATGGCTTCTAAGACACCTCACCCCCCCCCCCGACCTAATCAGACCAATGTGTAATTTAATTTGGAGAGTCCATGTCAGGCCCAGCCCAAGAACAATGGTGAAACAGTCCAGTTGAGTTAAGTTCCTTTTTGCTTATACCATATAGACAGAATCTTGCCAGACTAAATCTATACCACTACAACTAGTGGATATACCCTGTGGGATTCTAAGGAGTGGCTATCCTGAATCTCTTATGCCTCCCATGCTCCCCCTGTGGACTGTGTTGACTTTTGTTTCCTTTTCCTTCCTGGAATGTACCCCCTCCTTCCTGATTGCCTTCTTCTCTGTTGCTATCCACCACAGTCTAAGACAAATTAACGTTTCAGTAATACTAATTTACATGCCAAATCACACCATTTATGGAGTCCTAAGAGTTACTCAAAAGTAATTCCAATGACTTCAGTACTGTTGATACCAAATTAATGTGCATGGCCAAAGAGGTATTTCTGGTGCTCTCAAAGTGCTTTGGAATACACTCCCACAGTCCCTTGCCACTGGGCACACTGATGGGATTGATGGAAGTCAGAATCCATATCATTTAATGTACCACATGCATAAAATTATATCCTTAAACCTAAATAACTCAATAATTATAGTCTACAGTAGTAAAGAGCTGGATAGTGAAAAACTGATAGATAATGACCATGGAAATTTCAGTTCTCATAGAACTGACATTTTTGTGCATTTTAAAAGCAGCCTGGAATGAGAAATTCAGCAGACAAAGCTTTCTCTATCGGTTTCTCTCTGTATCAGAAACAGACCCACCAACTAGATGTCTGAATACCAAAATACTTGATAATATTAGAAAAGAAATGGGCAGATTTACTTACAAAACATCCACAATCAACCGTTGCCTTTGAAGGACCACTATTTTTTTTAATCTGTGGATACCTATGAGTGAAATCTACCATGGAATAGAGGCCATTGGCCAGACTTAACAAAAGGCACTTTGCTTCCTTTCCACCCTAACCCTGTGAATATCAACACAAAACTAAACTGAGGATCAAAAGTTAAAAGAAATAACCAATTCTTCAGAAAGCCTACTTTCTCCTTGGACAGTCTATCCATCTTGTCCTTGTTTGCACTCATATTGTTAATTTACATCATATCATTGTTTATCCCAATGTGGAATAAAAATAAGAAGGAAAAGGACTATGGAAAAAAGAAGAGCAGTCAGAAAAAGGAATCATCTTTGATCAATACCTGACCTTATATGATCTCCATGTTCTTCCTGTAAAGTTGATGATTATTTTTGTTGAGTGCATATAACTGAAGGTGTTTAAAAATGAAGGATGGGCATGAACTGCAATTGTAATTCTGAGATGCAGGGAATGGGGTTCAGAAATCAAAACTTATTCTTTAACTCAGGGCAAGTGATTTTTTTTTCTCCATCCAATTTTCTAAAATACCATTCTGAAAAGGGAAGGAACAGCAGAAGCAGAGTCTTAAGTGCTTTGTTTGGGGCAAAGCTCCGTCACAGGTTGGGTCAGGTCTGGGCAGTAAAAATCTGGAGGACCGCTAGTTGATAACCCCTGTATTTCTTTGCTGTTTACCATTACCCTAGTCAGTATGCAATGCAACTCTGTGCCATTTGTTTGTAGCTCACTTCTGCCTGTCATTTTGTCCCCCTCCCCCCCATTGTAAAACCTTAGGCAAATACCTGGGTTCCTCTATGGGAACTGATTTGTTTGTTTTTTAAAAAGACTGAAAGCCTGGCTGGGGCCACTTGTGCCTACAGGCGCCAAAGCAATCACCGCCAGCCACCCCCCCCTTTTACTGCATTTGCACTACTGTGCCAGTAACTGCTAAGCAAAGGAATATAACTTCTTAGTCTCCTATTACTTTCTTGTTCCTTTCTCATTTTATTTTCTCATTTGTTATTCTAGAAAGCTCTTGTACCAAAAACAACAACAACAACAACCAACCCATAGAAATGGGAACACTCACCTAGCTTCTCATCTGTGTGAACAGCCTGGTCCATTAAAGATTTCAACTCTGTACTTTGAATTAAGTAACTCTTCAGTTGTGTCATCATTAGGCGGATCTCTTGTAGCATTTCTGTGCTGGAGATCTGCTTTGCCATCATCTCCAGACTGTATACTTTATAGTCCTGCACCAAGTTGCCAAAGTAAGAGACTTTATCCTGGGCCAGTTCCACAATCTTCTTCTGGAGCTTTCGGTCAGAAGAGAGAAATGCCGTGAAGACATTGCTTAGGCTGACCATGGACAGACGACGCCTGGCCCTGCCTAAAATCATAGAACGGGTCTTCTTCACAGTAGGACTGGTCATCAATTCGAACTCATCTTCAGTGCTACTTGTAGAATAAGAATCTGGCTCAGAGGCAGATATTTGAGCACCTGCATTGCCTACTGGACAATGCAATGAATCATGTGAATGTTCACAATCTGATATGCTGACAAGCTTGAGGTCAGATTTTGATTCCCTTTTTGAAATGGAGCAAGTTTCTTCTACTCTTTGCTTGTTTTCTTGTACAGATACTTCTGACTCTTCAGTGTGCTCCAAAGAACAAGAGCTGGTAGATGATGACTGTTTAAAGAACCTCTTCTTTCTTCGGGGTGGGATGGGAGGCTGCGTGGGTTTTCCTGATAGGTTCTGCTGCTGTTCTATAAGCTCCTTCTTGTCCTCTCCATTAGGTTTCACTTTTTGATCATCTGAGGTGGATTTCTCCATCACTTCCGCCAATACATGTGCAGCCTCATCACATTGATCACTAGCGAAAGCGTCATTCCTCTTGTTCTGTTTTTCTACTTGTTTTTCTTCCGACAGTGAACATTTCTGACTTTTATCAAAGGAGGTGTTTCCTGAAGTTCTCTCAGATGAACATCGCCTTGGTGGAATGGATGGAGGAATCTTCTTTGAATTTGTAGATGGAAGGCTATGAGGAAAAAAGAGCTCTTGTCTGCCGTCTTCTTTGTCTCTGCTAATTTCAGTTTTCATCTCTTTTTTTGTTTTCTCCAAACTCTGGAACTGATCCTCTTTGGAAGGGGTCATAGAAGATGTTTCAGTTTGTTTCACAGCATGAAAAGATAATAAAAGTGGTGGTGGTGGTGGTGGTGGTGGTGGTGGAGGAGGAGGAGGA